CTATGGATATATTTCACAACTTTAGCAGGATGATCAGTATCATTTACCTCCTTTTGCTAGAGATGTCTGTATCTGCATACCTCTTGAGAAGTCTCTGTAATTTCATTAGGCGTATCCTGCTTCTGAGGCTCACTGGATTCCATTTCCTTAAGCTTGAACCCATAGTTAAAATTGCTTCCATCCTCAGAGACCCCTAGCATGTCGTACCAGAGCTGGGCTGGACCATATCGCCATTCTGCTACTTTAGGCCGAGACTCTGTCTCCTTGTCCCCATCACCAGATGTTTGTGAAAACTTTGATTCTACTGGAGCCATCATGGTTATCTGGACAAAGCAGAATGAATGTAAAGTGCTGATTAACCTGACATACTGAGAAAAAACTGCTAAGAGCTGATATTACTCAAGCATGCAGCAAAGACTTACCTCATCATCAGAAAGGCACTGCTCTGGAGGAGGAGGAAGAGCGTACTCATAAACCCATCCAGATTTCTTCTCCTGGCTTTGTTCTGATGGTTCTCCTTCTGGAGGAGGTGTCCCAGGCTGATGGTCTCTATGTTTTCGCTTCTTTTTCCTGCGGGCGCTCCTCCAAACCGATGACACATTCTTTCCAGGGCCAAACAGGCGCAAGAACCGGAGCACCTGCCAGCACATTCAAGAAAATGGATTTAATAATCTCCTTCAATTTAAAATGTTGATAAAAATGAACCTTAAGTATGTGTAAATAAAGATGCTGTACCTTTCCAGGCCTAAACTCTGGGAAGAGCTCTGTGACACCTGGCAACGCTTTGGCAGCATCTTTCTGCATGATGCCAGCCAGAGGGAGTGTGAGAATGTCCGCAGAACCACCGGCCCCTGAACCCTGACAAGGACGGTCGGTTTCTGACTCAGAGTCTGAGGAGCTGCTGAAGTCAATCTTATCTGCTGTAGAGGATGGTGCGATGATGGAAGGCAGGATGATGCCATCCCCATCTTCCCCAACTGCTGCAGGTGACAGTAATAAATCAATTGAGCAGTAGAGGTCATCAAAGTTTGTGATGAAAATTATTTGATCAAAATAAACATGTATTGCAATTTAATTTAATACATTCTGCGAGAAAGACTAATCCAAACCCAATTAAACTTTTACGAAGTAATCACAAGCAACTATGTACTTGCCATTTGTGCTCTGAGTGGAGGGTTCCTCTTTCTTAGATGTAGGAAGAGTTGGTGGTGGTGGAGGGGGCATGAGCTTAGAGTCAATATCCTCACAATCAGCATCATAGTCATCCTCATCGTCTAGGAATAAAGAGTTTGAAAATATTTTTTATTAACATAGTCATGAGGAAAAACACAGGACTATGCAGCCATGTGAAAAACTAAGTACATCCTTACTGTTTCCATAGGAATTAAAAGGGTAACTGGCTGATGACTTCAGTTGTGTGTTAACACAATGCCATAATCTACCCAGGAGGGGATGTCCCAGAAAACTCACCCCAAGGTCAGACCGTGCAACACAAATGTGGAGATATTTGGCCATAATGCACAGTTCCATGTTTGGCAAAACCAAACACAACATATTAGCACAAACACCTCATCTTGCAGTCATTAAGTCAACCGTGATCTCCTCGGTACAGCAAAATATTCCAAAGTCAAATGTGAGGCCATCTGTGTGACAGATAAAGGCTGGCTCATGCAACAGGACAATGATCCTAACAACAGCAGCAAATCTAAAACAGAACTGTTGCAAAAGAAAGGAATCAGGGTGTTGCGAAGTCCAGACCTAAATCTAATTGAAATTCTGCAGCATGTCTGCAAACCTAAATGAACTGAAGGAACGTGCTGACGAAGACTAAACCAAAATTCCTCAACAATGATGTGAGACACTGAAAGTCAAATTCAAATTCAAATTCAAATTTTATTTGTCACGTACACAGTCATACACAGTACGATATGTAGTGAAATGCTTGGACAACTGCTCGTGACCTAAAGAAAACAAAAAAGGAAAGACTATGAATAAGATAGGAAATAAATATGAAAAATTAAAAAGGGTAAATTTAACTAGGAAGGAATAAAATATAAATTAAGGTTAAAAATGAAATAACTGTACAACACAAATTAGAATGAAGGGTAAATTTAACTGGGAAAAAAAAAAAAAATATATAAATTAAAGTTGAAAATAAAATAACTGTACAACAAAATACACAATACAGAACTATATAAGAATGTATGAAGAAATCTAAATATAAATAAATATATACACAATAACAGCAGCTGTACAAGTATTAACCGGAATGAAGAATATAGTGACCAGTGTTGTGCAAAAACAAAGTCCAGAAAGTCATACAGAAGATTATTATCTCAAGTTGCTGCTGCTAAAGGTGATTCCACAAGCCACTGAAACATGAGGCGTACTTAATTACAAACTTAATTAACAAACCTTTACCTGTGTAAGTGTTAGAAAAATCTAATATCCGGATTGTTTTTTCAAAGACTGCATCCACCTTAAGGATGTTAAAATGTCATAAAATCCTCAACTGACATAAAATGTTCAAAAGATTTGTTTTAACTGATCATCTACTGACAAAGTACAAACAATACCAGCCTCATTGTCTCCACAGTTAAGCATTGTAAGAGCTGTAACATTGCTGATCACCTGTTTTCCTGCTGGGCTGCAGAGACCCCATGGCCTGACGGTACTTCTTTGTCTCATCCTCAGCAACTTCACTGATGTCAGAATAATCAACTGCATCCTCAGTGCTCTTCACCCAACCTGGAGAAGGTCAATTATTTTAAACTTTGCACAATACTGCTCCTAATTTGCTTCATATATGTGACCTCACCTTCCGCATCCACGCTGGCAGGGTCTCTGTTTTCTTCCTTATCATCATCCTCATTGGCAGTGATCTCTGTAATAAGTGAGCCCAGACCCAGAGTACCCAAACCAGCTAGATGCTTTTTGGACTCCTGATATAAGGAAATGAGACAGAAACAAAACATTTCAATGAACAGTAAAAGCAGACAGCTGTTGAAGAAAATTTAAGTTTGCCAGCTTAAACGTGCTACTAAATGTTTCTGCAGACAAACGTATCACAAACACCTACGTTATCCAAAACACTGTCATCTTCTAGCTGGCCATCTTCGTTGATGTTTCCAAAAAGGAAGCCAGTTATAGAAAAAGGGCGATCCTGATCATCGTCACTGTCCGAGTCCGACATCCTACAAGGACAACATTTAGAGTTTAAGCATTTGGACCTCCTAATTTAATTTCCTCGGTCTTCATAAACTGATTTCCGTAATTCTTTGCATTTTACTGCCAAGACGTACTATATTTATTTCAGTGTCCCTACTATTGCTTATTAGTAGCAAAAAAAAATCGCAAGATTAGAGAGTAACATCATTCAATCTGTTTTTTTGTCATTTATTTTTAAAACAAATGAGAAATGAGCTGTGACCTGAACCCTGTTAACTTTAGGTTAGCTGCGCTACAATCAAAACAAAGTTAACCTAAATATTAGTTAGCTAGCCTGAACTTATGACTGTAAAACGTGAATAAAATAAAACTCCAGTCAACTGCCACTTACCTTTCGTTGAGTTCTTTTTAGATTTTGTACGCTTTTGATTTAGCCAGCTCGATTTATCTTCTGAATGCTAATAGATGAGGCTAAGTAAGTTAGCTCATATTAGCTAGACAAAACAACTTGTAATACGGTGACTAAAATCCGTACACTTAAACATATTTTACCCTGGCCCTAGACTAACTTTACGAAGTCAAACAATAAACACTTTAACTCATTAAACGCAGTATATACATATTCGGGTAAGGGTTGTTTTTATTTGTATTACTGTAAAGCACTGCAGCGATCTGCAGACTGGACTAGCCAAACTGCGGAAAGTCCCAGTGACCCGGATGAATAAATGTGACGCATTCAGGTACTCCCTAAAACCTAGGAATTAGTGGAGTTCGCTACAAAAGGTACACTATTTTTCACTAGTAATTCGCAAACGTCTGTCATTTTCTTTGCGCTTGAGTATTAAGTTACAATAAATTTAATGATATTGAATTTTTGCCCGTACTCATTCCATAAAAATAAAACGAATCAGTCTCGACTATACTTCATACTCTATTCACTACAGTTTTATGGTTTTGTGTTGTAGCCCATTTTAATCAACTAGCCAAATGCAACCATCACTCCTACATTAACTCAAAATTTGCTAAATTTATCGCAAATAACTTTAATTATATGCCCTTACAGTACACACATCTTAAAATACTTTCTGTGACATGGCGTCCCTAAAGCTGTTGGGGAATCAGTGTTTACTGAAAATCTTTCAAGAGGAATTCAAAACTTACTGGTCTTACGGTTTTCACTTTTTATTGTTCTAAAAATTAGAACTTGTGTGCACCAGATATTATTTATTTGTTCTCTATATCAGATGTCAAGTATTTGATACTACCTCTTTGCAAGTACAGTCAATTCCGGTTTACAATAAGAAGAATCTATCAACAGAATGCGAACAGTTGCAATGACTTTACGTCAAAACTATGAATTATTTTGCGGAATTGTCAACCAAAGTTGAACCAGTGTCAGTCTGTACTTTAATTTAATACCCAGCAATACCTCTGGGTGATGTTGTGATGCATTAAAAGAAAAGAAAAAAGAACTATGAAAAGCAAAAACAACAACACTAATCAAACCCAGCCCATTGGTAAAAAGTTACCTGCTGGTGGTGACAGGGAGTGCATAATCACATCTGGAAGCTACTAAAAACATTACAATCCGTACATATTTTTGCTTTGACACAGATGTCATTCCTCACTCAATGGACTCAAGCATTCTTCTTTCAGCTGTTCCATCTGCCTCCATCTCACCCTATCCCTTACCATCAGGTCTAAATTCAGTATCCTTTACCCAGTATATTCACTCTCCCTCTTTTCCACATGTTCATAAAGGTAAACTACTATGCATTAATAATAGAGGCCCGCTGAGTAATAAGTAAAATAAAAAGTCAAAGAGAACACCGTAACAGTTTAGCCAGTTTTAATAGTTTTAAAACACTTGGTTTGGAAAAGTACAAAAGTGATCCTGGACACCACAGTATGAAACCAGCCCAGTAATGTAGGGTGATAGGTGTGTTTGTTTAAAAAGCATCTTCTACAGACATGTTAATTTCAACTGGCCTTACCATACACATACTGTACTCACTAAAACAGATACAAGCAATAGTTTAAATACATTGGCTGACCCCGGTGATACATTTACAAGTGACTCTTAAAAAACTAATTAAAAGAGGGGCAGGGGAAGAAAAAGTCTGACCACAAAGCCACCCGGTATCTGGCAGTAAAATCATGCAGTATTACAATCGTTCCACTAAAGAGAAACAGCAAAGCACTACAGCTGTCACACAGTGAGTAACTGGGCAGCCAAGAGACGGCCTTTCTGAGTGCTCATTGGTTGGTTTTATGTTTATGAACCGTTAACCGAGAGATTTCTCTACTGTCGAGCAGCAGCTCAGTGGTCGCCTTTTCCACGTTTGCATACATTGTAAAGTTGCACATGGTCTCCGTTAAGGAGCATCTGTCTTCCACAATCGTGTCCATTTACAAAAATATAACTAATTACTATTGAAGAAAACCCCAAAATGTGGGATATTCTCTTAGTATGTTGTGAGGAAATACAAAAAAAAAGCTAAGAAATACAGTTGAATAAATAAAATGCATGACATCCATAAACATTAAGTGGCTGCACTGACAACGTTCTCCACATACTGTATGCACACCATGGTTTTTGTTTTGGCCCGGCAGTGTTGGATTAAAACAAAAAAAACAAAAAACAAAAAAAAAGGACTCCATCCTCCACCACATCCAAAGTCATATCCTATGATCCAGTGGAAAAGCCGCCAGAAAATATCTAAAATACATTGATTTATTTAATTAGAGAAAGAAGGATTCTTTGATTTAACATTTCACTTCCATGTACAACATGGTCTCTGGCTTTTTACCAATTTAGAAGTAGTTGATGTCGATGGCAATGAGGAAACACAGGAGAGAGACTTTCACAGTGTTACAAAAAATGAAGCCGCTCTGTGTTGTCACCCTGGCCGGCCTATTGTTAGGGTAACAATAGTGAACTTCCTGTCCGGTCAAACTTTTTTCCCTTGGAGAGCGCAGCCACTTGCTTCATCAACTCCCTGTTCTTAGCCTGTGGAAACAAAATACATAATGAGTTATAAATGTTGGCATATAGGGTTAAAAAAAAAAAAATCCAATTAGTAACATGCACACTTTTACACTGTTACACTTAGAAAATAACTATAAAGACAATTTAAGACCAAAACGTTTGATGATGATGACGGAAATGGATCAGCTGACACAGTGAACCATCCCTTTATTATCATAATATTAATCCGTTTCAAATATCTTTTATTGAGAGCAAGTATAATTATAGTTATTGTAAATTCACATAACATAACTTATGCTCCTTTTTTTTCTCTAAACTAATAAAGCAAGTAATAAACAACAACAACAACAACAAAACAAGCAAACAGCAAAAGAAAGAAATTAATCCATTATAACCTTTACATCATTGCAGAACATAATTCCCATGAATTGTTTCTCTAGTGTATCAAATGGCTACATTACCACACCTACTGGAAACAGCTGGGCAATTAAAACTGACACAGGTGAAGACTAATACTAATGAGGAGTAAGAATCTGAAACCCTCAGTGTCACACATGTATTCCTACCTGCTGTTGCTCCATAGCTTCTTTGTGTGATTTCTCCATTTGATTCATCTTCACTCTCATATTTGACTCCTGGTACTGAAAGTCTGCTTTGAGCTCTGTGAGCTACGAGAGAATTTAGTCATTAGAAATCAACCCCTCAAACAAAGCAAAGCAAAAGCAGAGGTCAGCTGAGGCAGATTAACCTACCTTTCGGTCCTTCTCAAGGATGGTCTGATCCCTCTGCTGCAGAAGTCTCTTCAGTGACATCACTTCCTCCTTCAGCTGGCTGATGAGAATGAAGTTGTCCGTTCCCCCTGAATCCATAGACTGGGTAATGGAACTACTGGAGGGAGAAGGAAATGAGCATGAAGCCAACAATGGGAACGGCATAAAGGAAAACATATGCAACCATAATATAGCACATAATGTGCTACATCTGTCGTACCTGTCCCCGTTGGATGGCTTCATCTCCAGTTTTGGTTTCTTCTTTGGAGTCTCCTTTTGGATTGAAGACGATTTATGGCTGCAGAGCAGATGAAAAAGGAAGTGTTCACTCTGGGAATAAAAACTCAATAAGAGCCTTAAATAAGAAGGCAGCTTTACCTCTGCTTCCACAGTCCCTGCTCCTGTTCAGGACTCAGGCTCCCACTCAGCCTGCAGCATATGACAGACACATAAAACATTTATGTGTTTTTTAAACTTGAAGGGCTGACTGAGCAGCCTGGGGACAAAACATGCGAGGAAAGAGGCGATACAACAGATGACATACTTGTGGTGAGAACTGCTGTGTCTGTGTTGGTGATGGTGATGATGATGGTGCGATCTGGAGTGGTGGTCTTTCTCATTCAGGGATGAAGAGTTGGAGGAACCAAAGCCCTTCCTCTGCTCCTTAGTCTTCTGCAGGACACGGCGGTAGGAAAGCGTACAGAGCCAGCACAGAAGTTTCCCATCCACCTGAAACAGGAGGTGATATTAGCTCATAAAACTTGCTACTAAACTGTACAGTAGACTGCAAGCAATTCAGACTCTTACCTTTCTCCTCCCCTCTTCCTTACGGTCAAAGGCGCATTGCTGTTTGCATTGTTCGCAGGTCTGTGGAGGTCCATATTTTTTCTCTGAGTTAGTACAACGCTGGCACTTTGTCCCGATAAAAGCTGCAATAATGTTACAGTACTGGCAAGGTTTGGGCTGCAAAGACAAACAAACGAAAAATAAATAAATAAATAATAATAAAAAAGAAAATGCAAAAAGTGAAGCAGGACCTAGCAAATACAGCTAGTATTACAAAAAACCAGGAGAAATTTGCTACTCACCGTTCCAAACTGTTTGACGTTCTGGGCACATTTCTTGCAGATTGTATTTGTTTTACTGCAAAGAATAAAGACCGGTTTCAAGCCAAAACAAGCTTCAACGAAATTCATTGAATTGGCGTGAATGAAAGCTGAACAAACATCACTGGGAGGTGAAACATCTCACCTTTCCTGCTGAAACTCAGATCTGCAGTATGTGCACTTCACTATTGGGTGAGCGATGCGACACTCCTGCAGTACAAAAACAAAGAAATATCATTTTGTGGCACACGACTGTCTGCTGGTGAATGGTGACAAACAAACAGCACTACTGCGGTCTATTACAGTGGAAACTGCATTGCAGGTGGTGCGTATTGTGCGCTGGCTACAACATCTGTGAAAACACCAATGTAAATTTTCTCTATACAAGCCCAGCATAATGTCACAGTAGGGTTTCCCATTGAGGGAAACAAAGGCATTATTAACAGAACAATCATGGTTTAACAGACTTTTTGTGACAATGTCTAGATCTTAAAAAGATTAATTAAAAATAATCTTGAATGTATCAGTTAATCTAGTAGAGGTGGGGAGATCGATATGAACAGTGACTGTATTGACACCATATTGGTATGAGATTGATATAAGTGTTCCTTTAAGTTCAGTATGTAGCCTTCTGAATTGTGCTAAATACATTATTTTTTGGAAATGAAAAAATATACCTCAAACATGCACAGTGAAAAATGTCTGAGCCTTTTTGTGTTGACTGTCATATCTATGTTACTCATATCCTGTTGTTTAAATGTGCTATAGAAGTTGACCCAAAGTGCTTTACAGACAGGCACATTTATATCCCAGCTCTACAAAAGACCAAGTTTCAAAATCCATGAACAGCTGAAAGTTATGTTTTATTGTGTTAACTAATTATTGTGAACAGTAAAAACGGTGATTTAGTGTTCCTTAAAATTCGTTCAGAATTAGCCAAGTGAAGACTACTCATCTCATAAATCACGACACGCTGCTCTTTCCTACATAAGCTACCTTTACAGGTTAAAAGTAACGGTACTGGTATCGGCCATGCTGGCTCTATATTTGGTTGGTATCGCACGGCACTAATGCAAAGAAAAGCCATGGCCTATGGAAGAAAACATCTAAAGGAAAAATCAGCCAGGTTTGCTTCAAGGTTTTCTCCATTTAAATATTTTTTCCTTTGCCAATAAACGAACTCTGCTCCTCAGCTACAAACGAGAAAGACTACCAAACATGTAATCTACATTTTTTATTTTATTTACCGGGAACAAATATTCAACAGGTAAACATGTGGTATGGTTGTGTTGTTGCGCTTTAAATAAAGAGCACGATGTACAGAAGTGATCTAAACATGGTTACGTTAATACGGTTGCCTTCCAACTTGTTACATAATGTGAGCCTGTCTAACCTGCTACTTGTTGTAGCACCGTGACACCCCGGCGGCAAAAAAAAAAAAAACAACAAACAAAAAACACCCGCACACTCCTTCACTCTTTCGTGTCGTGATTGTTTGATTATTCTTGTTTGCAAGCAGACTCTCTCTCTCACTCACTCACACATACACTCCCAAACCTTGCACAGCTGTTGGCCCTGCGACAGCTCCTCGAAGGGGTACCGCTGGTTACACTTCGTACAGGCGTACAATGCCGTAGTTGCCATTCTCGCCCAACTAAAGCCAACGAGCTAGAAGCGGATAGCGGAGTCCAGCGGTAAAGCGATTAACAGCGCGGTTTCCTTTCCTTTCTAACCGCTCGCTAACTGACAACCAGGAGCACACACCGTGTTGGCATCCAGCGTTAGCTAGCTTGGCTATGTAGCGTACAGCAACACAGAAATAGCCTAGCTGGAGGAAGCAGGCGAAGAACAATAAACTCCAAATATCTGCGATCTTGCACTGCTCATACGTTTTCCAGCCAAGCTAACTTGTCAGCAGTCGTTAGTTATGCTGACACATAAGCAATCCATTAACAGCAATCCGGCGATTTGTATTAAGTTTCCGCTGTTCTCGCCAAGAAAGGTGTTTTTCCTTGTGTTTTCCTTCTCTCTTTTTGTATAAACGCCGTCGTCGTCATGTAACCGGAAGCGGCCGACGGCTCCCGAAGAAGAAAGGAAACCTATCGCGACACAACAGCCGCACGCGGGATTTAAGTTTGAAATCTGCAGAGCCAATCACGTGCCAGGATTCAGTTAACACGTTTTCGTCTTCTCACACGCTACACCCGGAGTGCAATGGAAATATAATTTTTAAACAAAGAATGGTATTTTTCAAAGAGTGATTCAATAATAATGTTATCGTATTCGATCCAATAGCCACTGTGTATGTTTAGCTATCAGGAACCTAAACAGTATCTGATACCTGTACTTCTAAACCGTTTTCCAGTCTTTCTATCCCAGACAGATGTCTCTATTCTGTTTAAAATAACTATTTCAGGTTTTTTGTATATATGCAAGTTGAACTACTGAAACTCAGTAGTTTGTATGGCCCCAAAAAAGGTTGCAATCATGCCCGACAACATCTGGGCATGCCGCTAATGAGACAATGGATAGGGTCTTGGGGGATCTCCTCACAGATCTGGATCAGGGCATCACTGAGCTCCTAGACAGTGTGAGGTGCAAACTGCTGTCAGTTTGCACCTCACACTGTCAGTAGTCTGATGGACTAAAGCTTAAAATCCCAGAAGTGTGCTGTTTGATTTGTGTGGATTGGATTAGATGTGGACTGAATTTAGGTCAGGTGAGCATGAGGACCAGTCAATCATATTTATTCCGTCATTCTCCAGGAACTGCCTGCATACTTTTGCCACATGAGGCTGGGCATTGTTGTGCACCAATAAGAACTGAGGACCCACTGCAGCAGTGTACGGCCTGAACCTGCATCCTGGTACCTAATGGTAGTCAGGATGCTGTTGCCTAGCCTGCAGAGGCCTGTGTATCTTTTCATGAATTATCCTCACAAGACCATCACTAATCCACCACCAAACTGGTCATACTAACTGATATTACAGGCAGCATAACATTCATAACGTCCATGCTGGAAGAGTTGCAAAATATAAAACTAGTGAAAAAAAAGTCAATGCCCTCCACTTATAAAACCATTCCTGTTTGCAAACATAAATGGAAATACAGTATATCCAGTAGCAAGCTTGACTGATAGGGTTTCATTACATATTATTCTTTTCAGCTATGCTTTTACTGCATTGGCAGTGTATTTGGGATCATTGTCACGTTGAGAAATTAAGCTGTTGCCAAACTGATCCTTTCCAGTCACTGGATGTGATTCAGTCACAAACCAAAACAAAAACCAATTTTAAAACGCTAATCTTAAACTCTATATCCTAAGTAAACAACTGAAAAAACACAAATATGTCAGAACTGTGGTCCCATTTCATTGTTTATTTATTTCTTATTACTGTTTTGTTAGTTTATCTCTTCCATGTTTTTTCCTCTCATAAATTTAATTACCCACTGTGCAGTTAGCAAAATCAGTGTTGTGGGTACTGACTTTTACCTTCTGTATGTTCAATATGTTACAGTGCTTAGTCAACATAACAAGTTGATTAACCCCCCCCCCCAAAAAAAAAACAAACAAACAAACAAAAACAAATAAAACCCAACAGATTGTATATGAAGACGTTCATGATTTGTCATTTTTGTATAGAAAGTGTAAAGTTTATACACCATGGTCTTTACTGGTTTGATCCACCTGTTGCAACCATAATGGGACTTGTGTCTTCTCCCAAATATGAACCAGGAATCTTTTGCTTGTTAAACATGTAAACCACAACACTATGGACTCACCCATGTAACGGTTGAGTACTACACGCGAAACCATCCCTATGAATTTTATACCTGCAAATTCTCAGTTTTAAAAAAGTGTCGCTCCACGAGTGCTCTGATTGTCTTACATTTGCAAGGTCTTCTATGAGTGAAGTGAGGTTCTTGATATTGTGTACTGGAATAACCAACCAATAAGTAAAAAAATACATAAATTGAGATAGAGGAAATACCTTCAGTTGTAGTCTTTCTTGATGAAATTGTTCAATGCAAACAAAATTAGGAGACTTCTGGTTCACAAATAGCTGTTTGTATTGTAATTAATTACAAGCCTCAAGCTACAAGCTTCTTGTATAGTATACACATGCATACATATGCACAATGCCTTTATAAAAAAAAAAAAAAAAGGCCAAAAGTTGACTACACAGCATCAGCACTTTTACTAAACTTTTTAACACATTGGCAGTTAAGAGTACAGTTGGATGTTCCTGATGCCTGCAGTATATCAATTTCCAAATTCAAGTGTTGATCTAATGAAGTGCATACAGGACTGCAGCCTCTTTGCAACCACATGGAATGGTGTCACTTAGACAGCTGTGCATTTTAAAAGGATTGCAACGATCAAGATCAGTGGCAGACATGATTTACATACAAATATAGCTGCATGAATTCAATGTAAAAGTCACATGAAGAATCTATTACTGGGTGACGGATGTCTTAACGCTACTATATAAAGATAAAACAGAGAATAAATGAATGTTTTCAGATTGTAATTTGGTATTAGGTTACCCCACAGTCACACTGTAAATTCCAGACTTTTATCCTTCTTAATTTACAGTAAAAGGCACTCTTTGTCCTATTTTTATGGAAAGATCAGAAATAGGGCTAGTGTTATTAGAGTTGGCTAATATCTGAAACACAAAACCACAAAACCCAAGAAATTGACTGGAGAATGCTGCTGTTGTTAGCAACATGCTAATGTGACAAACCATACTGAATCCTTGAGTTGCAGCTTTATTGCAATTATTTGAATACGCAGCAAAAAGGCTACAGGCTGAAACCATCACACTGTTCTTTTGTCATTTTCCCAGTCATTCAGGACAAGGCACGGGTACTTATTCAAATTTGCAAAACTACATAAAAAGCCCATTATTTGTGTAGTTACACATTCTTCTGCCAAAAAGATTGGCTGATAACAGCTTTAAAAAGCCTCTGCGAGAATTGTTCCCATAGGACTCCTGGGACAAATGAGCTATTGCATAATCTTTGCAGCTTATTAATATTGCATGGAGACGCAGCTAATCAATTCACGACACAAGACAGAAGGTGTCTGCGAGTTATAAATACACATCTGGAACGAAAGATAATAAATAATGTTAAATAGTTGGAAAAAGGAAACTTACAAAAGATAAACCACTTGGTGAGAGAAATGTCACGCATGACAAAAAACGTTTGGTCTCAACAATCTAAAAAGATTTGTAAAGCTAACCCTAACTGCTTTTTAATGCACTTTATAACTACTTTTTTTTTAATATCAGAAGAAGCTAACATCACAGCCCTTAAGCTACATTTCATTTTAATATTTATCAACTCAACAATTTGTTTTAGTCCGTGTTTCCTTGTGCTAAAAATCACTTCTGCAGCACTGCATAGCCTCACGGTTCCTTCAGTTATAGTGCTTTCAAATCAATAGCAAGAAATGAGGCAAGTGTTCCTATAAAGTATATAAGGCATAAACATTTAGTGTACTTAAAACAAAACACTGATTGTAGGTAGGTCGATATGCTAAACAGTCCTCGCTATTCTGGGTACGTATCCTCTCAACCTCAGAGGAGGAATACATATGGCTGTAGGCAGGTGGTCTGAGACAGACACTTCTGTTGCAAGCAGGCTCGACATGACCTGTGAGAGATGCAAATACAGTAACAAATACTACTTATTCTGACTTTTGGTGGTAGTGTATCAAAGCGGCTTATTACTGCTGTATGACACCTTCTCACAAGTGCGGTTCAGCTTCTGTGACCGTCAACCGAGGGTTGAGTAGCGTCAAACAAAGGTCTGCACCGGAGTGATGGAGCGTGTGGGCGAGCCTGGCCGCTCAGAGGCGGAAGAAGCTGAGCGATTGGCCACCTCTCGCTGTAATTCGTCTACCCTTTTCTGCAGCTCGGCACGCTTTGCTAATAGCTCCTTGTAGCGCTGATGAATTGGTTCCTGGTAAAAGGGAGGGAGAAAAAAAAGAAAGTTAATTGAGTAAAATTAAGTGCACGAGTGCCAACCTCTGCCCTATTCTCTCAACTTTTTCTCTGCATGCGTTCCCAGTTCCAGGTGGACAGGGCAGGGACTCTTCATCTGGGATTACCTAGACCTAGACTGTGAATTTCCTCACGATAAAGCTGTAGCTGGTACTTCATTCTTTCTTTTTCTTGCCCATCTACCTGCCTGCTACCATGCCACACATCACCTTAGGTTCCTCCCAGATGGCAAAGTTTTTTCAGCTACGGAAGACATCCCACCTTCAGATCCTTGACGAGTCCCCAGTTTGTCAAAAACTGGTTCATAAGCCGATGACGAAGTGTGAACACACTGCACTGGGTGCTTTGTGCAACAATGTTAAGAACATCACACAGTCACATCCATTTATGCTCGCCTTTACAGTGCAGGTAGCTTCTGCAGTATTCTCCTGAACAGCAAGTGTCACCACTCAGACAATACTGCCACATAAACGCTGATATTAGAGAAGTCAAAGTTTCCCAGTCTTATCTTTTCAAACTGCTGTAACATCCCCCTCTGTGAATCTGAGCTTCAGTAGTGATGTGTCAGTAAAACAGAACAACACACCACATTATAGAAACTGAGAGGTGCACAACTGGCAGAAATGGCCAGCGTCAGTGGATGTGACATCAACTTTAGCCTCAGTGCCATTTGTGAGCCACTGCAATGGTGGGTATCAAACGGCCTTTGTGCAGACTTGTATAACTGTAATGCAAAACTAATGAGCTGTCAAAATCACTAAGATCACTCATGTAGGGTGGGGATGAATCTGAAGGTATGTTTGGTGCTGTCAGTACAAAAACAACATAATGACACTGAAGAGAAACTAAGGTGATGTGTGGTGGCCAGTAGGTAGGTGAATGAGAAGCAGAATGGAGTGGGAGCCACACCTTCATAGTCTGGATAGCGCCCAGGTGTTCCCAGTTGGCAAGTAGAGGAATGTACTGTGAGTATAGGGCAGCGATCATCACACAAGTGAAGTCCAAACAACAGCAAGTCTTCCTGACGTACCTGAGGTCTCATGCGTGGGTTCCAGCGAATGTAGTAGCCAACCCAAAGCTCCAGGTGGCGTAAGCTGACTGCTGGGAACAGTACATGGTTAGAGTAGTTCACATACAAAGGATTGGTGAAGTCCTCCAGCTGGCTGTTAATATATGACCACAATGAGACTGTCCTCTTGGGAATCTCCTGTAACAAAAAAGGAATGTGATTACACAAACCATACGAGTGAAAAACTAATTCATTCTTGTGCCATCTCTGATTCGTATTATGCTAGTTATTAAGCTATATTATCCCAAGTAAAACGATAATGAGAGGGGGGAAAAAATCATAAAATACCGAGAAACCAAATGAGCTTACTTCTTTTAACCTCTGCTGTTCACTGTTGCACAAGAATGTCCCAAACAGGCAGCTGTACAGGTGATCCAGGATGGTCACCAGGAAGTATTCATTAAACTCAAAGGCGGCAGGAAACTTGAATTTAAAAAAAACAAAACAAAAAACAGCTTGATTACAATCCTTGAAAGAACCTTTTCCTAAACATTTCAGAACCTTAACTCAATATGTGTCACTTACCTGACGAGTTAACTGCCAGACACAATCAATAAACTGAATGAAAACAGGTGAGCGATCTGCATCCGTGTGGTTCTTATCTCCGTGACCAATGCGCTGCCAGAAACAGGAGCATAAGGAATCAGTGATGAAACTAGACTTCCAGCTGGACCGAAGTGGAAAAATAATCTGTTTACCAGTTGGAAGCGATGACCAAAGCTCAGCCACTCTTTCTCAAGCAGCACTTCAAAGCCGCGAATGGTGCGGTAGTAACCATCCAACATGAGCATAGACAAGGAGGTGAGCTGAGCCGTGCGGTCCCAGCCATCGCTGCAGTGCACCACAACCGACGTTTTCCCTGACTCCACTTTGTCTGCGATCCTCAGCGCTCCAGCCAGGATCAGCTACAAACACAGGACCAGAAACACACAAACCATTATCACTGCAATATTTTTACAATGTCCTTTCCCAACCGATGGGTCACTATGCTCACCTTGATGTGCTCAAGCCAATGAGTGGACTCCAGATTGGAGAGCCAGTGGGAGTCCTCGATATTGGGGTAGACAACTTCCTTCAGCTTGCGGAGCGACTCCCTCATCACGTGGATATTGTGAATGTCCAAGAAAACCAGCTCAGCGTTTTGATAGGCATCCTCGCTTTCATATCCACCCCCTTTCATCTGTGGGAAAGTAGAGGATGCAGTGGTTACTAAGATCCACGGGGCACAGAACAGAAAAACAGATCCAGTTAAATTATTGCCAACGAGACAGTCCTGAATCAGTAGTAGTAGAAGCTACATTAAGCAGCAAGGTCACCACAGCAGGTAGAGTTTTTAATTCAATTCAATTCAATTCAATTCAATTTTATTTATATAGCGCCAAATCACAACATAAGTCGCCTCAAGGCGCTTCATAGATACAGAGAAAAAAACC